CATGACCTGAGCCGAAGGCAGACGCCTAACGACTGAGCCACCCAGGCGCCCCCCACAGACCCCTTTATTGCCTGCTTTTCAGTGGCTGCCTAGTAGTGCACAGTGGCAACGTACTCTACATATTCAGCTAACCTCATGTTGAGAGAGGTCACACTTGGTCTCCAGTTCTTTTCCCACAGCAAATGCTGCTATAACAAACCCTCTCATTGTATACATATTCATTTTGTCCATCTAGGATAGATTCCTACTGTCACCAACAAGTTATAATATTCATATTCCCACCGGTGATATATGAAAGAGCATTTATCTATTCAGTGATTTTCTCGCCAATGTGTGAGAACTTTTTAAAGATATTACAGATGTTAAAAATTTTGTCATTCACATTACAGTATTTTCTCCCAAATATATTATGCATCCATTGGATTTTATGTATGCATCTTTTGACATACAAAAATTAAACATTTCTATAGAGCCAAAGATACCTATTTCTCTTAAAAAGTAGGGGTGCCTGGGTGGCTCAGTCTGTTAAGCAACTGCCTTTGGCTCAGGTCATGATCCTGGAGTCCCGGGATCGAGCCCCACCTGGAGCCCCACATCCCCACATCAGGCTCTGAGCTCAGCAGGGAGTCTGCTTCTTCTGCCCCTCACCCCACTCATGCTCTTTCTCACTCTCTCAAATAAATAAAAAATCTTTAAAAATATAGTTTCTGCAGTCTTCTGGCTTTTCTAGGAAGGTTTTTGTTGTTTTGTTATTTTATATTTAAATCTTCATGCATATGAAACCTAACTTTTTTATGGAGGTTTTTTTTTTTTTTTAGATTTTATTTATTTATTTGAGATAAAGAGAACACCAGAAGGGAGGAGAGGCAGAGGGAAAAGGAGAAGCAGACTCCCCACTGAGCAGGAAGTGTGACCTGAGGCTTGATCCCAGGACCCTGGGATCATGTCTGGAGCCGAAGGCAGATGCTTAACTGACTGAGCCACCCAGGCGCCCCCCTTTTATGGAGTTTAATGTGAGAGTTCTTTTCTTCCAAAAGGATAGTCAGTTGATCCAACGTCATTGATTGAAAGACATTTTTTTCCTCACTGAATTGAGTATTTGTCAAATTTTAGAATCTCCTACATACTGACATCAATTTTTGGATTGTGTATTCTATTCTGCTGGTCTGTATGTTGATTTCTACACCAAGGTCTTACTACCATGGCTATATGGATTGTTCTGGTATCTGTCAATACAAGGTCTCCCTCACTGTTCTTTTATGTGCTTTGGCCAGGCAAAGAAACTTCTGTATATGCTCCAAGATCATGTTACCGATTCTCACCCTGTCCGCCAAAGAAAATCCCATTGGGATTCTAAATTAAATCATATTCGGTGTATGGAATTGACATTTTTTATGATATAGTCTTCTTGTTCAAGAACATGGTATGCCTTTTTATCTGTTTGGTTCTTGTTTTAGGTTTTCCAGTACAACTGTATAGTTTTCTGTATATACTTTATCTCCTGCACATTGTTTTTACTTCTTTTTTGTTTTTCTTATTTTGCTGGTTTGATCAGGTTTCCATGCCCTCTCCCTACTATTAATTTTTTTCTTGTAGTTTTTTATTGCATTTTCTGCCCTTGCTTTCATAATTATGAGATAGATTTCTCTTGTTGTATTTGACAGTAAGAGACCAATAATGAAGAATTGTTGGTAGGGTATGGATCTGCAGGAAGCCCTTACTCTAAAATATAGATGCACACACTGTATGCTCCTACACTGTATAGTCAAGGGGACAGCACATAACAGAAGCAAGAGACCACACAGAACTGACTTGGTCCTCCTGGTTCTTAAGCCATATTCAACACCAGGAACACCACTCCTTGTCCAGGCAGAGAAACCAGAGGCTGTATCCTTGAATAGTATCTCTAGCTCTTTCATCACTGTTCTGGAAAGCCATTTATTTCTCTGCCCATATATTTCTTTAATATCTACAAGTATGTCACGAGGAGACCTGAAATGGGTGCCCCTGTTTATCTGTATTCAATTCAGAGGTTATCACATTGTGAAAATCCATCGAGAATATATGTTGCTCCAGGAAGAGCATAAGGGAGGGGTTCTAGAGTCAGATAGAGGTTCAAATCTTGACTCAGCCAGTTATAAGTTTTGTGAACATGGGAAAGTTGCTTGACTTTCCTGAGTCTCAGAGTCTTCATCTGTGAAATGGGTCACTATTTCTGAACTCATTCATTTGTAAGAACTAAATGACTGAAATTATGTAAAGCACCAGCATCATGTGTGACATGCAGTAAGTGCTTAGTAAATTGTGGCTAATATTATTACTACTTTGTGACATACTCGTAGGTACCCCATCTTAGGGGAAAACAAAGGCAAAGATTTGGGGGCTGAAAACAACAACAAAACAATAGAAGAGCAGTTTTATTGGATGAAGGGAATACATATTTCCTGATGATTGTTACCTGCAGGCTTGGGTGTTAGACTTTCCACTTACCTGAAACAAATTTAATCCTCATTCTGGTCCTGAGAGGTATACATATTGCTAGCCTATTTTACATATAAGAAAACTGAAGCTCAGAGAGATAAAAACCCACAGTAAAGTCTAGATTAGAATTTAGATTGGTGTGATTCCAAGATCCATATTCCTTTTTTAAAAGATTTTATTTATTTGTCAGAGAGAGAGAGCGAGAGCACACAAGCGGGGGAGTGCAGGCCGAGGGCAAAGTAGGCTCCCCACTGAGCAAGGAGCCTGATGCGGGCCTTGATCCCAGGACCCTGGGATCATGACCTGAGCAGAAGGCAGCCGCTTAACCCACTGAGCCACCCAGGCGTCCCCCAACATCCATATTCTTCCCCCCATATCATTCTGTCATTCTCTTATTTTAAGTTCATTTTATTCCTAGGTGGTATGTTGGTGGGAGGACTATTCTACAGCATCAATTTGGACTAAAATGTCAGATATTGAAAGTAAATTCCAGCAAATGTGTACCTTTGTCACAAGGACGATAGAAAGGGGATGCTGTGTCAGTATCCATCCATCCAACCATCAGAAAACAGTTTTATTCTCATTCCCAGAGGAGAAAGGGTGGCTTTCTTTGTGGGTATAAAGGGCTGTGCTTTATTTTCTGGCTCCATTTGTGGATGCTGGTCCTCTGTGCCTGAACCCTTGGCAGTGAACTGGAGAGAGCTCCAGTAGAGTGCCACAGAAGCAGACTGTGAGCAGCTCATGAGTCTTGAGAGGCAAACCTACGGCCATATGGTCTGCTGAGGTGGTCTAGAGTGGGAGGAGCCAGAGGGGGAAGGCTACTCCCCAAACCTCCGATTTTGATAAAGCTTAGAGGAACAAGGAAGGAGATTAAATTCAAGCATGAGTAGATATAAACAGAAGCACCAGAATCAAGAGCAGTTGTGACTTGAGAAGGTAGCATATTATGAAGCAAAGACTCTGGAGACAAACTGCTTGGGTTTGAATCCCTGTGAATGTGGGTAGTTCCTTTAATCACTATTTTAGGTCAGGTTCCCTGGAAGCAAAGCCCAAGAAGGCGTTTCTTAGGTAAGGGACTTATTTAGGAAGTAGTTTCAGGAGAAACCTATAAGATGGTGGTTGGTTTCAGGAGAAACCTATACGAGAAAACATGTTGGTTTCAGGAGTTTTGTCTCAGCCTGATTCTGTAGAAGGTTCTGGGGCCTGAATCGCACCACAGAAATTGTTCAGCCTGGGGTAAGGGGTTAGGCAGTTCTGAGTGCACATCAGTCAGTTCCTGAGAGGTAGGACATCACCTGCTGGGAAACTTCAGGTGAGGCGACTCTGCTAAGCTAAGCTTAACCTTTTTGAGCTAGGAGCAGTTGTAAGAATGGGTGCGCAGTCCCGGTAGAAACAGGGATCTGGTGCGACACCAAAGACCTGTGCTACACACTCTGAGCTCTTCTTTCCCCGTGTGTTAAGCAAGGTGGTGGTAACAACACTTACCTTGGAGGACTGTCATAAAAGAAAGAATCTATGTAAGAGCAGGAGTGGGAACTTTGGAGAACCGAAGCTAGGAGGGTCCTGGATGATTACAGAAATAAATGTTGTCTGAAGAGTTTTTATCCATTGTGATTGCTTGATACCTGGGTGATTGGCCTAGCTTAAAAGGGAAGAGTGGGTAGGATCCATGGCTCTAAAGTTGAGAGCAGGGTGTCCACGTTTCTGGTTACTGCTGTCACAGATCACCACAAACTTAATGACCTGAAAGAACACAAACCCTGTTCTGCATTTCTGTATGTCACACTCAGGTCTCAGTGGGCTCAAGCCAAGATGTAAGCAGAGCTGCTTTTCCTTCTAGCTGCTCTAGGGGAGGATCTGTTGCATCGCTGTTCCTCGCTTTCAGAGGCTGGCCACATTCCTTGGCTCCTGGCCCCTTCTTTCTTCAAAGCCAGCAGTGGCTGGTCACAGCTCACATTGCATCACTCTGACACACTCTCCTGACCCCCTTTTCCTCTACTTAATACGGACCCTTCTAGTTACACTGGACCCACCTGGCTAATGCAGGCTAATGTCTCCGGATCCTTTACGTAATCATATTTTAAAAGTTCCTTTTGCCACATAAGATAACATTTGCACAGGTTCCAGGAATTTAGGATCTAGACATCTTGGGTGGGTGGGTGGGGCATTATTCTGCCCCTTGGGCAGGGATTGACAAACTTTGTCTGCAAAGGGTAATTACGGGAAGTAATTGTGGTTTTGCAGGCCACGGGTCTCCGTGGCTGCTACTCAGCTCTGCCGCTCTAGCAGGAGAGCTGCTGCGGACAGTACGTCCATGAATGGGCATGGCTGCGTGCCAGTAAAACCCCAGTTATGGACACTGAATTTGAACTTCGTGTAATTTTCACATGCCACAAAATGTTCCCCTTCTTTTGCTTTTCCCCCCCTACCCACTGAGCCATGTAAAGTCCAGTTTCACCTTGTAGCCTGTACAAAAACAAGGGGCAGGTTGGATCCTGGCTTGTGGGCTCTATTGGTTTGGAGTATTTTTTGTCCTGGCCTATTTAGGGATTTCGGAAACAATCTTCAAATGTGTGGAGGAATTACTTCACTGCGCTTGGCTGGTTATCCTACCCGTTGCAAGCCTTGACCTTGTGGCCTGCATGACTTCTGTTTGAGTTTTGTCCCCCATGAGAACTACTCTCCTTTTAATTTTTCATGGACGTCGCTGAAGGTAAAATGGTGATGGTTGGTGAAGTTTTGTTCCTGTGTGGATCGTAAATGTTTGGAAACACAAGCACGCTGAAAAGAATACTCAGATGATATGAATTAATCAGAGAAAGTAATCTGTGTATTGACATTTCTACTTTTTCTCCATTAAACCAGAGTCACTCAGAATTTGTTAACATTTTATCGGGGCTGGCTAAATTGGTAAGAATACAGAGGTGGGTGAGAAAGAAATGCGTAGCATAATAAAATAGAAATTATTATATTCAGGAGCATCTTGCTGGAGTTAGTTTGCCATCTCACAATATATTATGACTACCTGTGATTTATTGAACGTAATTTGCTCTTTAAAATATGGTACTTTCTCTAGCTATCACATTTAAGCCTCCTGCTGAATGATAGTTGGCTGTGAAACACTCTTTTTTTCTTTTTCTTTCTGTTAGGTGAAGGGAAAGAGGACCCTGGGAGAAAATATTGCTGATAATGGAGGTCTGCGGGAAGCTTTTAGGGTATGCACTGCAACATTTGCTGTGATTTTTAAAATTAAACTATAGAATGCCACATGGGTGCATGTCAGTTTACTCTATAGACATATTCTTGAGGAGTTAGATTTCTGTCAATTCTGTGAATTTCTGTGAATAGAATTATATTTCCATGTTGACTCTGTCCTACTCTATATGAATACAGCTGCGTTTCTTTTTTTGGGGGGGTGTGTAAAGTCACCCTAAAGAATAATAATTGTTGTTAAGAATCATGTATTTAAAGGATAGTTTTCAGTAGATGCATTCACAATAATATCAAAGCATGCTACAGAAATCTCCTCAGGGCTACGTTCATATGAGTTTTCCTTGAGTACACTGCTTTCTAGCTCTTCTTGCAATTTTCTCTTAAAATACCAAACTTCTAAATTGTGGCCAGAGGCTAGTGGTTCTCATATAGTGGGCCAGGTAAGAGTCCGTAATAATGTTTTCATCATCCACTGGTCCTTGGTTAAACAAGAAATGTGAGGACGATGTGGAAAGATGTTCTTAGAGGTAAATGCATTTAATGTAAAGACCAGGCTGTTATTCTGAGGTTACATCCTTCCTGTCTTCTGGTTAACATATATTTTATAAAGTGATGGTGATTGAAGATGACAGTTTTCCCTTTTATTTGGAAAAATAAAAATTTGGCACCAATATGTTGACCCCCAAATTTATTTCCATAGTCCTTGCCATTGTGTCAGAGAAAGAATAGATTTTTGGGGGAGGAGGAGTTATTTAACATGTGAATGCTTTGGCCCAGCTGCCCTGGTATCTATTGAGTGTAAGGTCTTTTTGCAGGTGAACCTGCCTCGCTGTTAAGCCAACACAACAATGTTTGGCATTTCCAGGGGCTGGTTTTGTTAAAGCAAAACTTGACAGGCTGGTACATGGTGGAGGATATATTTAGGATCTCTGCCCTGGGTGAGAAAAGAGGAAGGCCACCATTGCAGAGGATCATCCATTCTGCTTCTCTCACCAGGCCTACAGGAAATGGATAAATGACAAGAGGCAGGGAGTTGAGGAGCCTCTCCTACCAGGCATCATCTTCACCAACAACCAGCTCTTCTTCCTGAGTTATGCTCACGTGAGTAGGCCAAGGAAGGGGCATCAAAGATGAAATGTGGGACTTTGGCTTGCTCCCATAGTCAAAAGTTTAGTGGTATATCTTTGATTTTAGCTGAAATGTTATCTTGCTGTTTATTTTCAGGGTAAATTTCACCTTCTTAGTGTTCTATGGGACGTAATTAATTAACTGATTGAGTTAGAGTTTATTGGTGTTGTCAAGTGGGTTTCCAGCCTATCATAACCCACTTGGTATTTCTTTAATATATGCTGACTTTTTTTTTTTTTTTTTAAAGATTTTATTTATTTATTTGACAGCGAGAGACACAGCAAGAGAGGGAACACAAGCAGGGGGAGTGGGAGAGGGAAAAGCAGGCCCCCCGCAGAGCAAGGAGCCCGATGCGGGGCTCGATCCCAGGACCCCGGGAACATGACCTGAGCCGAAGGCAGATGCTTAACAACTGAGCCACCCAGGCGCCCCTATATGCTGACTTCTTAATGTATGCACTACACTTTATAACCATTTCTAGTGATTCCTTCTTTGGCTTTTGTGGCTCTGCCTTTTGCTGCATTTCTCCTTTCTTTTTTTTTTGCCTCATTGGCTGACTGTATCTCACCACTTTCAACCTGTGGGGGACCCTTAAAGCTATGTTTTCCACCGTCAGATGTGTATGTGAAGACTGCTAGAGCTGAAAACAACAACAAAAGCAAGGAAAGTCATCTCACCCTTTTGTGAGTTTGATGGGCTTTCTGAGCAGAAAGTGAAAGATGTGTACTAAAAGAGACACAATTCTCAGTTCAAGTCTCTGGCTAATGAGGCAAGCGCCAGTTCTTGGTTGCTATTGGTTATTGCCCTGGCTTATGTCACAAACGTGTAGGCCTCATTTTCAAAGCAGGCAGGGATGGATTGATGAAGGTTCTAACACATGGCTTCACAGTGGGCAAATGTGTATCTGTAAGACCACTGTTGTTACCAGCACAGCCTTCTTTTGCTCAGTCTTTGCATTGGCTCCTCAGTAAGCTCTTTCCTTCCCACATCTTCTTTGGTTGAGCCTGGCTAAAGGATTCTCACCTTTCTGGGATCTTTTATTTCTTAAAGCTGACATGGCAACACTAAATTAGTGATCATTTATCAACATGACATCAGCAAAACTGGAGTCACCAAAATGACCTCCCTTTTTCGTTTTCCTCTTGCTATCAACACACCCCATTCTTTGGGTCTTCCTGGTTAGAAAATCTAGATTCTTCGCTCTTACTTGATTTGTCTATCCTCCTTTTTATGACATGGGTTCCCAAAGCTAGATGTTTCATCCTTTTAACTTCTCTTTAGATTCATCCTCTTTTTCTCCCCATTACCCTCTATCTCATCCTCTGTAGAATAGCCCTTGATCTCTCCTATTCTGGATTATCCCAACAGCCTTAAGGCACGTTTTTCTGCCTTTGGCATCTTTCCACCACTATCTTACATGCCCCTGTGAAACAGCACTTTTATTTCATTACTGACCTGCTCAGGGAACTGCAGTGACTCCCAAGTGCCTACCACATGGAGGCCAAACACATGCAGCTGGCTCTCATCATTCTGTCCAGTCTTATCCCCCTCTACGCAACCAGCTCTGAGGCTCTACCACGCTCACCCTTAGCCAGGCAGGCGTCCTCATGGCCACCCCGCAGTGTTAGGCCTATTACTGTCCCTGGGGCTTTGCTTTGGATTTTCCTTCCATAATGTGACCTCCTTCATACTCCTCTCCCTCAGACGATTTAATCCTGTCTTTATCTTTCAGGTTCTATGTCGAGTCCCACCTCCTCCACATTTTCCACAAACTTCCCCAAGGACTCCAGTTCTCTTTTTCTCTCTTTTTTTTTTTGAATCTCCAACTCCTTTACACTTCTCTTCATTACTATGCGGTTGAGTCCTTAATTGTTCTCAAAATGTTGAGGACTTTTAGTTTTATCTTCATAGCTAATCTTCTGGATCCTTCTATTTCTTATGTATCTCCATAGCACCCAGCAAAGATGCTGGGTATATTGAAGATGCTTGACATTTTTAGATGAATTGCTTGAAAGGGATAAGACTAGGTAACAGTTCCGTTAAGGAGACTTTTTTTTTGAGAGGGGGGAATCAGGACTGGGTCAGATATCTCAAATAAGCACACAAAATACAGTTGGAATTTTCTAGAGCAGGGCTGGCAAACTAGGACCCATGGGCCAAATATGGTCTGCTGTCCATTTTTGTAAAAACTCTTTTGTTGGAAAACAGCCAAGGTCTTTCCTTTGTGTTGTGGGTGGCTGGTTTTGTGCTACAGTGGCAGAATTGAGTAGTTGAAACAGAGATCTTCTGGTGTGCAAAGCCTAAAATATTTAATGTCTGCCCTTCTACAGAAAAAGTTTGCTGACCCTTGATCAAGAGGACAAAGTACAACATCCACTGGTTCTTCCTTTCGTTGTTAACTTACTTAAAGTCCATCTTATTTACATCCTAGTCCACCATATCTTTTTGTGCATAAAGTAAACTAACTGGTAGCAATATTACCTTTGTAATTTTTGAAATGCCTTCAAATAAAATTCCAAAGCATATCTGATTTATTTTAAACTAAAGAGATTTAGGAAAAAATGGAAAGCTATTTTATGTTACTAATGAGAAATTTATCTTGGAGGTTTTCCTACTGACAGAAGGAGGAGATTTTCAGTCTTTTGCACATTGGAAGAAGTCTGCCTATAGGGAGTAAAGTTATTTTCCCTCCTGAGAAGATTCTAGGAAAACAGTAACAACCATAATGTGTTTTCAGAGGTCTCTTAAATGATTTATGAAGCAAAGACAGTACTAGAACAATACCATATAATGATGTAAGAATATAAGAAGAAATAGCACAAGAAAAAATGAGGTAATGGGGAATGTCAGAAACAACTTCAATTTAGCTAGCTTCTGAGGAAATTAAGGAATCACATTATGAAAACGTCTTCACAGTCGCATTCGGACTGTTTATCTTCATCAAAAGCAATAACATCATATCATCTTTTCTGCTTCCTGTGTCCCTGTAGTTTCTGTGACCTGTTAATTTTTTTCCTCGGATATTCTCCTCATCCTTCTATTTCTCTTCATTCCTGTTTATACTTATTTAGTGGCCACTCATCGGAAACCTTTCTGAGGCCCATAAATACTCTTCAAACTGATTTCTAATTTCCTCTTAGTACTATGCACCCCTGCCAGATAATTCTTTTAAAAACATGATTTTATCATTTTCTTGCTCACAAACAATGTTTAAATATAGTTTAAATTCTTTAACTTGTTGTTCAAGACTTCAGAAGTCTGGCACCATCCTCTCTCTTCCCTGGTCTCCCATTGCTGCCCATTATGCATCACACAGTCCAGCTACACTAAATGTCTCACTTTTTTTTTTTTTTTTCTCTCAGGTCTTTGCTTCCATTTTCTCCTGCACTTGGAATGCACCCCATCATTTCATGTCTCCTAGTTCTTTTCGTACTTCAAGACTATATCATGTTTCCAGACACATTGCAAGTCAGGATCGAGTAGGTTACAGTGCAGAAGCAAACAATACAAAGACAGTTTCTTTTGTGTTCATGCTCCCCGTCTAGTGTGGGTTGAGAGTGGTGCTCTACTCATAGTTATTACTCAGGGACTTGGGTTTTGGAGTCTTGATCTCAACACGTGCTTACATGTTCACCATCGGAGTAGGAAAGTGATATGAGGAAATGTACAGTGGACCTTCATGTGGCATCTTAAATTGCTCTTAAGATGCTTAAAACTTGGGCGCCTGGGTGGCTCAGTTGGTTAAGCGACTGCCTTCGGCTCAGGTCATGATCCTGGAGTCCTGGGATCGAGTCCCGCATCGGGCTCCCTGCTCGGCAGGGAGTCTGCTTCTCCCTCTGACCCTCCCCCCTCTCATGTACTCACTCTCTCTCATTCTCTCTCTCTCAAATAAATAAATCTTAAAAAAAAAAAAAAAAAGATGCTTAAAACTTATGCTAGGTTTTTAAAGCTTCCACAAGGGTGTGCCGTCTATCACTTCTGCTCACATTTAACAGATCAGAGCAAGTCATAGAGCTTTGCCTAACTTCAGAGTCTATGGAGAAGTGTCTTCCTATCCAAGGCCTTGACTAGGGGTGACGCAAGCAAGGCACTTAGGATGCAAAATACTCACATCCCATGACCATACTCAGTAATGAATGATGGGTTCATTTTTTCCTGTTGGAGTATGACTGAATTTGATAAGGGCTCTTCCAAGCATTATATTATTTGAATTGATACATTGGCCGATTCCTGGGCATATACACTATTCTCTTGATTTAAGAAATTTGTCTGGAAACCATCCTAATTTACTCAAATTGTGGAATTATGCACACAATAAAACCTTCTACTCTGGGGATTAGAATAATAGATGTTGCCACTGATGAAGGTTTTATCTGATCTACTAAAACTGTTTGTCATCCACTGAGTCTAGAATTACTCTTCAGTATAATTTGGAGCAGTTAAGGTGGTAGAAAGTGTAATTGGGAAGGAAACATAATTATTGGTGTGCTTTTCTCTTCTAGGTGAGGTGTAATTCCTACAGACCAGAAGCTGCCCGAGAACAAATCCAAATTGGTGCTCACAGCCCCCCTCAGTTTAGGTAAATGGGCAAATTGGTGACCCTCATTTTTAAATGTACGTCTCCTACCTCCTCCCCGACTCAGCCATCCCTGTGCTATACCAAATGGGAGATTGGAACAAAAGCCTGTATTGTGAACAGCGATATCTCCATTTTGCGGACAGAAATATCTGGCCAAACAGAAACTGAGCACCTTTTCTTTCACAGTAGGAAGCTAGTTTAGTCAGAATTCTCTTTAAAAAAAAAAAAAAAAAAAAAAAAAAAAACTGTCTCTGGTAGGCACTGATGCATGCCTCTGGTCCAGTGCTATATCAAGAGATCCATGAGATAGTACAAGACTCCAAAGGTACTTTAGAATCCAAATCAAAGCTTTAGTATTAATTCCCATTTATTATCTTCCAGTTTTTGAAAGGCCTCAGTCCAGGGGTGTCATGAGCACCATGGGTGCTCAGTAAACTGAAGTATTTGATCTATCCAACCACCTACTTTTTTGTGCATGGGGGCCAAAAATGTCTCTTTCCTTAGACAACGATGGGAGCTTACATACTGTGCCTTAAAACACACAGAGCTCTGGTGTATTTTGTGTTCTAGAATATCCTGTTAAATGCCTCTTGTTCTTTCACACAGCGAACTGGCAGACATGAATGAATGCCCGCTTCCCAAATAGCTCTGAACACAAAAGAGGATGTATGGTGATATTTAGCTATTAGAATTCATATCTGAAGTCAAAGCGCTATGGTTTGGTTTTCAGTTTGAATCATTTTTTGAAACAGTTGCTTCAAATGAAGGGAAAGGGATTATGAATTATAATCTTGTTTAATTGTCAGAATGTACAAAATAACAAGTAAAAATAAAATTAAGATTAGTGTACTTATCAGTGCTAGGTTTCTAGCCCAGTTTGAGGGAGATTTTCTATAGTTGGGGTCAGAGAATTATAATGGGATATATAAGAAACTATAGTAATTTTTATTGATTGATTCTTTCCTTAGAGCATGTTATATCTGGATATCTTTATGTTTAATGTTTAAATGAATCCATCAGCACAGTGTAGGAAGATCATCTAAAATTTCTCCTATATTTAAAAATCTTATTCCTAAAACCTTGCTTTAGAAATGCTTCAGAAACTGACTCTAAATTACCGAGTACCATAAAAATCTAATCACAGTGTTAGAAAATTCTCCCCCACTGGGCTAAACTGTCAAAAAATGCTGACAGTCTCTAATGAACTAAAATATGCTCCCACCGATGAATGGTGCAGATGGAAACCACACAGTAGATTAATTACTTAACAGATAAGATTTTAGAAACTAATTTCCTTTTACTAACTAGTTACCTGTAATGTTGGATTTTAGCTGATAATTTGCAGAGTATACTTACTAATGATCAGCTAAATTCTCTTTAACATTTGCCCAGGGTGAATCACACTATGAAATATGCATCCCTACTCATATATCCCAGCTAAAACACAAGAGGTTTGAATACAAGCCAGTATATTCCTTCACATGCCCATAGGTGACAGTCATTAGGGAAGAAATAGTAACTAAGAACGCTGAGTCTCTAGTCAACCCTTTGAATATGCAGTTCAGTAAGAAATAGATGAGGGGGCAGTTTTTGCTGGCTTGTTAGTGATGTCTGCAGTAACTATAGATTTTGAGTACAGCAGAAATCACACAATGGAAATACCACTGCCAACCAAAGTGCTGAGTAGGAATCCACAGTCTTTACTGTAGTCAGGGAACTTGCAAGGACACCAGATTTTGGAACTAACTCCAGTAAAACAGTCCTCATCAATAACGCAATAACGAGTAGACACCATTCATTAGTTTGTTGTGTGGACCAAATTCTAGGTAAATATGAACCTTCATGCATAATGGGAATTAAGTGGAAGTGTTTTTGTAGGTCGGATGAGGTCTTAGGTAGCAACGACAGGGATGAATCTTACAGACATAATAATATTGAGTGAAAGAAGCCAGGAACAACAGAGTGCATACTGTGTGATTCCATTGATACGAAGTTCAAAAACAGGCAAAACTAATCTATGGTGATAGAGGTCAGACTAGTAGTTATCCTTGGAAGTTCCACTGGTAGGGCACACGGTGGAGCCTTCTAGGTGCTGGAAATATTCCATGTCTTGTTCTGGGTGGTAGTAACATGGGTATATACACTTGAACACTTTGTATCAGTTATACCTCCCATAAAAGTTAAAAAAATAGAAAGCCTAAGTATTGGTAAATCTAACAATTTATAGGAATCTAAATTTATAGGACTATATAGTCATATACATGATTTATAGGAACTGTAAATCCTACAGTTTATAGGAATTTGAGGGTATTGGGAAGATTAATAAGAGCATTTGCCTGGCATTCAGGAGATGCTGGTTCTAGTCTCAGCTCTGTGAATTTCTTTGGAAATTTACTTCTCCCATTTGGGCTTCAGTCGTCTCCCCTGTAGTAAACAGATGAAACGAATGCAACATCCCTGTGAGCAATATGCTGCTACAGTTTTATCCAGAACCTGTTGAGATGGAAGAATTAAATGACATGAGCTGTGACATATCTTTTCCAGGGTCAATGGTGCAGTTAGCAACTTTGAAGAATTCCAGAAAGCCTTTAAGTGTCCACTGAATTCCACGATGAACAGAGGCCTGGACTCCTGCCGACTCTGGTAGCTGGGCCGCTGTTGTATGCCGGCCCGAGAGCCATGCAGTACTAGTAGAGGCCACACGGAGCGCTCATCGCCACTGCTTTCAGCCTATATTCCCTGCCCTGCCCTGCCCCGCCCCGCCCCGCCCCACAGGACTCCTGGTTTTAGCGCATCTTCCTTATTTGGGTGTTGGTTGGATCTAACCACTATATTCAAATTGTAGGGCTCAAAAAAATGGAATCCGAGAAGGGATCCCAGTATGTTTCTTTACAAAACCAAACTAACAAAAATAAATCTCTAGGCCCCTTTTGTTAAAACATTATCTGCTGGATTGTTGCTCTTGTCCATTTTTAGTGTGTAAACAGCTAGATGGTAGATACCGTTCTAAGCCACAGCTTCGCAGGGGGCCTAAGTAGAATGTATCCAGAAAAAAAATTCTGTCTATTAAATGTGTAACCCTCAATGATGAATACATGTTCCTGGAATACCTGGTAGGTCTTACCTCTCTATAGAACACGGTGCTAGGCTTTATGTATCGTCGTCCCCAGCGTTTATAAACTCTATGGTAGTTAAGTTAGAAATGTGTTGAAGCTTCATTTTACAGTTTCTGCTGAAATTTTTGCCTTCAGTTTGGAAGTCTGTTGGGATGAAAATGCATCTCGCAGCTTATATCTGACGCCGCTGATTGCCCTGTTCCAGTCAGCCTGAACAAAGCTGGCCAAAAGGCTACTTGAGAAAGGATTTCAGTTTATCAAATAGAAAAAAGAAAAAAAAGATGTGTCTTTAAGGCCCAGAAGTCACAACTCCTCGTCACGTAACAGTGGGGACACGAAGAGATGAAATCTCCACCATTTGATCTCTTTTGCCCAAGCCTCAGTGATTATGTCTGTCTGCCGGACACTTTTCTTTAGTCCGATTCTTACTTGTCTTATTACCCTCATATATGAGCACTTTTTTGATTCTGAAATGAGCAGGCATTGAGAAGATGATTTTCTGATTCTCCATTAGGGACGTTACAGCTTCCGTTCTCCTTTAGCACAAAGCAACAAATACCACATTGAGGTGTGGGTGCAAAGTACCCTTGAGTTTTGCCTCAGTTAATGTTACCTCTCTTTGAAAAAAGCTTTTTGAAAAATTTCTTGATTGAAGACATTTTAGAATTTATTGATTAAATTTAGAATTCCCTGCATAGTCCAAAGAAACGTAATTTTCACTGTCCAGGCCTTCTAAATAGCCTGTAAGGAAGAGCAGGACTAAGTTTTTGATCCTCAGGACTTTATGCTTTCAAGGGAACTCCATCTCTTATTAGTGTGTGTGTGTGTGTGTGTGTGTGTGTGTGTAGGATAAAATTGTGATGGCCTTAAACTGGCATTTCCAGTTTCTTAAAATAGCTGTCACCCCTTTGCGTTATTCATTGTGTATGCAGTTTTGGCCAATAGGAAAATCTCAAAAGCAAAAGGACAAATTCAGACTAACCATGGGAGGCCATTTTGCACCCCTGTGATTTGTTGTCCTTTTTATTTTTTAAATGTAAGTGTGTGCCATGTCTTTTCAAAACCGTGGGAACTTCTGAAGGGAGAAAAATGCAGGGGCTCCATCATGAGGAAAACAGTTACACTGCTTTAGAGGAGAGTGATTTCCCCCTTGACCTCCTCTTCTCCGAATGAATGAACTTCTGAAGAGCAGCTACTTTTTCCTCCTTTTAACTAAGGCTTAATGTGACCTTAGTTCATATTTTTAAAAACAAGGGGAATTAGGGTAGGGCTGCTAGGAGAGTACATGCCTTTTCTCTGGAGGAATCATTCTGATTTGGTTTAGACATACAAGATGCTCCTTGTTTTATCCCGGTACTTGGACATTTAAAATCAGCTGAGGTTTCTTATGCTTTTATGGATAGCATTTTCCTTCTAGATTTCTCTTTTTAAACTCCCAATAAACACATTCCTGCAGGTCAGAGAAAGTGTTTGATAAAAGCATAGGATTAAGACTTTGGAAATGGGCATCCGTCAGTCAGTCGTTGATTGAGGACAGCTGGTTGATCAGCTGGGGCCCTACAATTTCTAAGCAATGTGGCTGCCTTGTCCTGATTAACTTTCCTTGATATGTCAGTTATCCTGAAAATTGTAGATACGATGGCCATTATTAAAACAAAATAACCCCAAAGCAGCGATACCAAATCCTCAATACTAGCTAGAACAAATTTCCGGTAGGATTGGATATCCAAATACATGCTCATTGTTTAAATTTTCAGACGACACTCTCCGTTGTTCCTTTTCTTCAATACAGATCGCTAAAGGAAGCAGACACTGAGTAAGTGGTAGAGGGAAGAAGGTAAAACGCAAGTGGAAGGAAAGGTAAAAAAGTAGGGAGAAGCTGGCCTAAGAATATGTTGCTGAAGAGAAGACAGGATTTGGGCAATCCTGGCTAAGCACATCCACTGGAGTAGAGCCATAAAGTTTTACAAAAATAATTATGGTAAGTCAAAAGGAAATTAGATACTGGATCACAGACTAGGACTGCTGTCACATACTTTTCTGATTCATATGCCAGATGTTCTGCCAATGGACTATTGTCTGGGTGTTGGAAGGAGTTAGGGTTTTTGTTTTTGTTTTTTTTTGAAAATTCTCCCAGATTAGTCAAGGATTTTATGTATATAAAGTGCTATTATTTGAGCTTATCACCATTGCCCAAAGTTTGTTCAGCTTTTCACCAGCCACACAGCATTGGCCTCCTGTTTCCCTTTTTTCCTTTTATGAGATGGACTTGGACATGACTGATGCAAGCTCAGGATTCGTAAATTATCCTGAAGTTTATTCAGTGCCTTTCCTCAATGGAGCTTAAAGCATAGCACATAAATTTTATCTTCTTTAGCTCTGGAGCATCACTAAAAAGCAACAAGGAATGATGGCTTGCCACACGGGTTATGCTCATGCCAGAGAAGTGGAGAGAGGTTTGAAATTGCTTTGTCAAGTATCCCAGAATCAGGAAAGGCAGAGTCTTTGTTCTGTGGGCTGCTGACCTCTGCATTAACCTTCATCCCTTAGATTACCCCATTTCTAAATACATTTATCCTCTTAGTATTTCTATAATCACTTAGCATTTGATGGGCTTCTTCCCTGATATTTTTAACATAACAGCTCAGTTGCATATTAAGTTAAGGAAGAATATGATTTTTCATGCAGCAACATTCTCGTCACCGGTGGCCATGCCCCCACTGGTTTGAAGAAAGGTGTTCTTGCATTATGTGTTTTATATCTAAACGGTCATTGTATTTTCTTCTCCTACTTGTGGAACAATGTGAACAGTCATTTTAAGGACAATAAAAAAGTTGAAGATTTTCTGTTTCCTCTCATTTGTATGTATGTATGTGTGTATGTATGTTTTACTCTCTCTTAAAAAATACTATAATCTATTGTATCTGTTAACACATTCGCTTCTGTTTTAGACCGTACTGTTTGCCCAAAAAGTACACAAAGCACTCTAGTAGACTAGGTTTCTTGGTTTAGGAAAGTGGGATTTGAATGCAGTAACTTTGTAGACAATGAGAGATTTGCAAGGTGGTCATTGTATTTCCTTCCAGAATATAAGTCAGCAGATGTGGCTTATTGCTTATGCAATAATATTCCTAGTGAGGAGAAGGGAGGCTTCTGAGGGAATTATCAGCCACGATAGGGCTGGTCTTACCAAAGTGACAGTGAACATTACAGTTAGTATCAGACCAAGGGATCTCTATGTGCTCTCACCTTTCTTTAACAATCTAGTCCATCTATAGTCACTCAGCACACCATAACTGAACACCTGTTCTATTTATATCATGGAACTAGCTGTATTTAGGCAGATTATATGCTGTCCCTGGGCCTCAGTGAACAGTTTGGTCTTAGTGGGAGACAGATCCATAAACTGTTAGAATCACCCTGCTTTGTGTGGTGATATTCAAGGACATCAGGTTGTGGTTTGGTGCACAGAAAAGGAATTAGTCAACTCTCCTCTGGTGGACGCTGTTGGTGCTCTCTCTCTGCCCAAAGGCCAGCGAGTCCCCTTCCCTGGGCACCCTAACCTCACCTGTGTGCTTTTCTTTCTAAGTGGCTGGGGCTCTCTAGGGTAGCTGCGCTCATGCTACTGGAGCCTCTTTGCCCCACGCACACTTAGAGAACCGGAAGTGCCTAGGATTTTTATCCCCTGGTGACCTTTGGACAATGAGTGATGCAGGACAATGTAAGCCTCTCTGTCTTGCCTGAGTCCAGACAAATCTAGAGGCGTACCATAGAATCTGTACTACTCTATGGGAGCATTTTGAGGTTAGGCTGGTAGGGCAAGTAGAGACCCTTGTTGATTATCTTAAACATCTTTCTGGCACTGATAATGTTCTAAGATCTGGGAAAGCACTGGTTTGTCATAGGTGTGCCATAGGGACTGTGTACGGGAGATAGGTGTCAGACGGGCGACAAAATTGGGCAATAAGTGGCTGAATGTGGCCTGTTAGTGCCCCTCTTAGAGAGTTTGCTCTAGTTTCTGAGCTGATCCTCGAAATAAGAATTCTTGTGTAGGGGGTAGTGGCAGAAGGAAAGATGCATAGAAGTAATAGTTGATGAGTGATCTCTGGGGCATGGACAGGAAGGAGGGGCTTTGGGGGAATGGAGGCAAGGAGTCTAGAATTTCTCGTGCTATGGTCTGTATGATAGATTTTATGAGACCCAAGATGTTTTGAGTCTGATTCAATTGTTAGATACATATCTAAGTGGACCTGATCAAAATTTGAAGGAGGAGAAATGTTTCCAGTAGATCTAAGGTATTTGCATGTCCCTCAAGTTCAGTTTTTTTCTTTTTTTATTAAGATCACACTAGCTGTTGAAACATTATCTTAATGGCTCAGTCCAATTTAAGTTTATTTCTTGTTTTCATTGCATACAAAATGGTATTAATGGTCAGTGAGCCTCTGTCTTCCAATTGGTGATTTAAGAACTCAGGTTCCTTCCACGTTGTGATTCAGCCATTTTCAACATGATTGAATACATGCTCATCTTACAAGAAGCTGGTGGTAGGGAAGAGGCCATGGAAGATACTGAGTGGAAGGTTTGGTCTGGTTCCAGGAACTATCTCTGTCATTTCTGCTCCTATTCCATTGGCTAGAGCTCAGTCATGTGGTTAAGCCTAACCGCAGGGGAGGCTGGGATATCCAGTCCAGCTGTGTGTCCACAAAGAAGAGGAAATGGGTTTGGCTATCAGCTGGCAATCCCAGCCACACTTTGTAAAGTGAAATGCGGGCCAGTACCTTTGAGGTCATCTGAATTCTGGGAAATTGCTTTTGGGTGCAGCACAATGAAAATTTTAAAGTGCCATTGGTAGCCTGCAGTTTATTCTGTAGGAGTCTTTTTAATTAACAGCTCAATTGGATAATTTAATCCCCTTTAGGATTGGAGATATGAAAATGAAAATGAGATGCTCCCTGTGATCTGACAATACCGTGCTTTAATAAACACACCAAAGTGAGCCCGGAAATGAACACCACAGAAGCATTACCATAATTTGTGATCAGTGAAAGAAAGCCTGATCTATAATTTTAATTATTTCTAAATGGTTTAGATACATGTTTCATTTGAATGTGCATTTTGTTTTGTTAATTGCCTCAATTAGGAAGATAACAATATAAGATTGTGTGGCTATGCCATAGATAATACAATATATTCTAAGCTTTTAAAATATATCCCATTGAGACAGTAAATAAAATATCCTATGAAATAAAATCTTGTGCTATATCTTCTAGTATTTTTAGAGAATTTAGATGAAAATTGTTTATACTTTTCCATTATGAGATGAGAAATTACTCCTCATATTCTTATTTTATGCTTTCTCCACTTGAAAGACAAATTGAGGATGAGAGTCCAAGAAACAAAGATGAGTTCTCATCTACAAGCCACAGAAGTACTGTTTGCATTAATTCTGGCTTGAGATCCATTTTACAGAGAACGAAGAACAATCCCCCATATACAGGCTACCTAAAATATTGAGCATCATTTATGCTGGCAGGTGGGCTGAAATGTGTGCAGATGTCCTAGGCAAGAAGAGACGTATAGGTTACCATCTAGAAGTATACTCTGGCAATTTCCAAACTGATGTAGAAGTCAGTGGAATCAGTACCTTGCTTACAGTCACACGATCCTCCCACCCCATTGACATTTGATGAATGAAAAAAATAAGCCCAGAGCAAACTTATTTTAAAATTGACCAGATTTTCAATTGACATTTGTAAATTTTTTTTTTTTTGATCTAATAACGATTGTGATGAAAATGGCTTCCATTTCTGGAGACCCACCAGGTCATAGGCCCTCTGCTAGGGTCTTACGTGCTTTGCAGCCAATCCTCACAACAATCTTGCGAAGAACTGTTGCTGTTTCTTCTTCACAGGTGAGGAATCCTTATGTGACTCATCACATTAGTAATTAAGAGGAGCCAGGAATACAGTCAATTTGGTCTGACTGCAAAGTCCATTCTCCAATGGTCTACTGGGCATATGGAACAATATTCGCAAACCTGATTTTGACTTGTGACTTACCGAAAAATTCACATTATGTTCCAGAGTCATCTGTTAGAAAATAACATGAAGAAAGGAGTCCGTTTACAGGTATTTGTATTGGATGGTAGTTCCGTCCGGAGTCCTCCAGAAAGCTCTCTGCAACCTGCTCTTCACTGATGATGCCAGCTACTGCTCAGGGAATATGTCCCATGTGCCAGGTGTGCACCAAATGCTTTATTTTCATTTTCTAATCCTTCCAATCATTCAGATCCCTATTATCCCCATTTTATAGGTAAGGGCACTAAGAAGTTAATGACTGGCCCTTGATTATATTTAGCTAGCAAGCAGCAGGACCAGATTTGAATCCAATTTTATCCACATGCTTCCTTGGGCAGACATAGAGCTTTGATGACCCTAAGTCCTGGATTTCTGGGCTGAGCTATCCCCCCATTTCAGTTGGTAGATTCCCCCTAAATGTGCCTGTGTTCAGTGTTGTGACTGCCCGTGCTCTCTCTGTTGAGTCTTCTAACACCAGAAGGTCTGCCCGTCACTTTCTCCCGAGAACAAAACCTCTGTGACCCTGCCTGTGGGTAGTTGAGGGCGTGTGACTGCAGTTACAGACTTTTAAGCAGTCACCTTGTTTTTAACCCTCTCATGCCTACTGACATTCACTGTGATTTGGAGCTTCCAAGGCTCGAGACCTGTGCTATTCTACAGGCTGCTTTAGCTTGCTTTTAGTAAGGGGCGGGATCTATTATTTTTGCCCATGTGGGCTTATACCTTTTTTATATTTTTAGTGTCTTTTTTTGGTGAGAGGGAGTGTAGATCGATATCTGAGTAACTGGAAGTCTACATTTTTGTTTTCTAATGGGAAAATAGAACAAAAATTTATTTTGAAAGAAATGCTACTATAAATATAGTTCTATACTGAATTATTATCTTAATCCCAGCAATATCTATAACTAAAGGGCCTAAAGCTTCCTTTAAACTGCTAAAATTGGGAGGTTTTGTTTTATGTAGAAGCCAATTCTACTTTTTCACAGTTATTTTAATAAAACAAGCATCATGTGCATTGGGTATTTTCCATTTCTCCTGAAGACGTATAACTTAGTCTTTGGAGAATTCATTTGAGATGAGAGGAATGTATCTCTGTCCACCTTCCAGAGTTGCCTAGGAATACGTCTAGGAGAATGCTAGAGTGGATTTGTCACGAATGCTCCAGAGGAAATTTTTACTTATCAACAAGGGCCAAGCTCAGTCCTTGGAGATTCACATTTCAATTCTCATTTGCACACACACATACAGGCTTGGTGCAGACTGAGTTTGAGTTAATGCACATAGCTTGTTGGGAAGAAATCAGTCAAAAGCCTTTTTAAGCATAAATGGTTCTTTAGGAATAACTGAAGGATCAGTGCCTCAATTTTATTGTAAGCGTTGAATAAAACCATTTTAAAGCATTCAGCCTATTAAACCCACGCTGCAAATACCAGGAATAATGAAGGTGCTCCCTCACCCAGGTCCATTGGTGATATATAGAAAATAATATTTACTGTAGAATAAGAAAGAAAAACCGACTATTATTTAACTTCTGCCTACCACACATGAGGCACAGTGCTAGCTGTCATACTGCATTTTGATTAATCCGGGGCTTTGGTGACCTTAACCCCAAACTTCACAAACAATACAGCAATAACAACATTGTCATTCCTGTGTTTTAAAACCCTTCAGTGATCTCTCTATAGCATTTACGATAAAGTCCAAACAACTTACATTGACCTAAAGGCCCTGCGTGACCTGGCTCTCCATTT